GTGTTCTTTTTTTGTTTTTCTTGTTTTCTCGTCGATATAATTATATATATTTTTTTTTGTTTCTCGTGTATAATATGTACTCGTTGACTTATAAGCTAATAAGTACTATATATTTGGCAAAACTCTGTGTTTACGGGTACGTAAAAAAGCTACCTGTGCAGACAGTGCGTTCGCAAGCGAGGAGGCGATGCTCTATACTTTTTTAAACTTTTCCACTTTTATTATTATTATTATTTCCTTTTTTTTAAATTTGTAGGTACACATTGATCCTCTTAAATAAATATACACGCGATCGATTGCTCTTCCTGTCACTCTTATTAACGCCGCTCTTTTCCTTCCCTTTGCCTAACTTCTTCCTTTTCTCTCTTTTTTTCACCATTGCGAACGCACCTTCCGAAATCGCGCAGAACGTTCTAAACTTACCGGTTCCCCCCACTCTTCTCTTCCTAAACTTATCTCTGATACTCCTTAATGATTAGGAAAAACGTTTACAAGCATTTACAAAAACTTATCACATTTTAAACTGCGTTTTTTGTCTCGGAAAGCCATCTTACACATTAGGACAGAACGTGGTAATTTCATAGTGTCAAATATTGTAATATGTATATTTAAATATATATATAATATTTATATATATATTTATATATATATTTATATATCTGTATATGGCAGCTTTCGATTGTTCTTTGTGTGTTTGCTTTACGTATCTGGGAAAACGGAAATTCGGTTAATAGTTACAACATGGTGAACCGCGTCGGACCTTTGCTGATCCGTCCGAGGCGGGGAATGCTTGATCAACGAACGTCGAAGTGTTGCCGCTGCTTCTGATTACGCTATACATACAATATCCAGAGAGAGACTTTTAAAAAGATACGCGGCCTAAGTGAGCGTGTCGTCGCAGGACAATATCACTGTGCCAGCGAACCGTATCTTTCGAAACCTTCTTTGATTCCTTTATCTTACAGTCTTTAGGTATAGTCGTCGCCAAGATATAGAGAACTCTTAAAAAAAAAGTTGGTTCAATTAAAGTAAACATGTTTCAAGTGATAGGACCAACGAATCGATAGAAATATGACCTTAAGCCCTCTACACACGTTGAAACATGTGCTGCATGCATCGACTGTTAGCCTTCATGAAACTTGTATCAGTTTCAGTTTGCTTCCACATTAACAATTCCTCTGAGTTTGTCGTGTAACGACAGTTGTTTCTGATACCAATTCGTCGAATTACATACATTGCAACATGTATCATGAAGCTTGGGAGTCAGTGTATGCATTGCAACATGTGTCAATATAGGTAGAGGGTTTTAGGACTCGGAACTGTGATCAACACCTTTGATGCGGTCCGAAATCCTGCAAAATCAATTGGTACCCATTCCGGTGAGTTTCGATTCTACCTTGAAACTTTAATTTACGACCTCGCTGTATCGCAGTGACGACTGTATGCTGCCACCGGTGCTGTCACTACGATCCACAGTCCCGATGACACGCTTACCAACCGGAATTTTTTAGCAAAAGCTGTCCAAATTCTCGGTTCGCTTACTTCCTTACCCTAGACAGTCAACTAACGCAATGAATACGCAAAATACTACTTGAATTAAAAACGTACGAAAAAGAAAGAAAATAAAAATGAAACAAACAAACATGAAATGGTTGGGCTGCTCTTGCGCGCGTCGCCACTGGCGAACATTTACATCGTAGAATGTACACGGTAAACTATCGCGATAAGAACGATCACTGACAGAACAATGGGGAATACACTTTCGTCCTAGAAACGCAACCAATCGACTAACCGCGGAAAAGGAACGGTTACACGGCTCGGGTGGCGGCGATCTATCGTTTACCGTCAATCTTGCTTTTGTCAGCGGGCAAGAAAGGAATTGTCATTTCCATGATGTCTTTACGAACGTCCGAGTCATGTATTATTCAAGAGAGTCCTTGACCTGAGCTACTTGATCGTCAATGATATAACCGGTACACGCGGCTCGTTCGCGTGAGTATCTCACGCTTAAATGAATCAGTCTTTGAAACCAAGGTCGTACGTAACCACGAAAATCGATAACATGGTATTCTCGGAAACGGAACAGTAGGAAAAATGAAATATATGCATCGTGTGGACCATACAACGTGTCTCGAATAGAACGTCGAGGAATGGGCGAGGAGTCGAGAGAATACAACTTTCGAAAGAATATATATACACAGACTCGGTGGTTCGCCAAAATGGCGGACACCGTTTCAAAGAGTGCGCGTGCGTTTCCGCCCGTTCCGCTCGTTTCGTGCGAGGAATGCTTTCGAACGTTCAGTCCCTTATCGTCAGTCGGTAAAACAGTTCCCGTTTCCCACGAAGAAACGAGACGCAACGGGGGGAAAACGTTTCCCATTACTTTTTCGCCTTGATTTACCGTCGCGCTGTGCGCACGATAACACAGTACTACCCAGCGTACTAGACTGCGATTATCTAAGAGGGTGCCTCGAAGCAGTGATCACTAATTACCGACCGACTTCTACCAATTTCCGCGATAAATTTTGTACATTCCTCCTCCTCGTGTAAGCGATCTATCTAGGCTCCACCTTTGCAAATACTCGCTAAAAGTTACAAATTACATCGACGGTGTCTCTCCGCGCTAGAGAACGATCTCCGTGCGGGTACCTGGGTACCCGGCGTCACCGGTAGATCGATGCGTTTATCTGTGCTGCCGTGTTGCTGCTTTGGCGATTACATTGACCGGAGGGATTGGCGAGGAACGGGGCGAGGGTAGCAAAAGAAACATTTTCATTTTCGCGAAGGTTTTCCTTAACCTTAGCGAAATGATTGTGCAGAACTACCGGGTGTCGAGAGATCAGACGAATTTCGCGTCGCCGACGAGTGTGCTTGCCAATAAAGAGGCGGCGGCTACGGTGTCTCGTCGCATCCCCGGAGGCGCGACGAGGATTGACCCGCGAGTTTGATCGGTCATCGGACATTTTGCGCGGATTTGGCGGTCGAACTCGATCCCTCGTGCTGTTTCATCCTGCTCGATCGATTCGCGCTGATGCGCGCGCGCTGTGTCGTCAGAACGAGGAACGAGGTTTACCTGATCTTTGAATTTCCCGCCGGTTAGCCCTCCCCGCGGTGATTTCCCGAACGACGCGCAGCGGATTCGAAAGTTTCGGGCGGGAATGCGATGTTGTCCAGGGATGCGCGAGTCGTTTCGTATCGTTTCGAGAACACTTTGGCCAGAAACAGGCGTTTCCACGGTTTTACGATTTACAATCTAGTACGCCGGAAGAATATCTAGACGGCCGAGTCCTTGCCGACGAACCCGGTCTTCGAGACGGACCTTTTCCCGTCGAAGGTGATCGATGTTTCACGGCGCAGGCCCGAGTCGATGATCGGCGTGATCTTCTTCTCTTCCTTCAACGGCTCCTTCTCGTCTCTAAAATGATTGTTGAGGGTGTGATTAATCGGTGAGGAACGATCGTTCGCACGCGGGAGCGTTGGTTACGGTTACTTTCTATTACTGGGCATAAAAGAGCATGTCGACGGATGCGGCGCGTGGTGCAACATCGAATATATGCATAAGGCATGCCATCACTCGTTAGTATCGTGTATTTGCGGTGGGGCTGGCGCAGAGATTCGTTAAGAGATTATGAAGTATCAAGTTCACTCGTGAACGTTTCGTCGGTTCTTTCTCTGAATATTCTTAAGTTTCATTTCATTATAATATCTAGATTAATTTGGGTTTAGTATAATTGCCTTGATCAAGGATTGAGTATAAACAACTTCTGTTTACCTTTAATTTATCAATATAGAACGAAACAAATATTTCAACAATAAGAACGAGAAAGTAAAATCTATATCTACTTTATTCACTGTTCAGTTTTCCACTTGTTCTCATTACGAACATCACATGTATTTTCTACAGAATCGACGTGAGGATCTTCGGAGCATCAGTTAACGAGTCCCTGCCGCACACGTTCCGAATATCTTTTCAACCGCGAGTTTCGACAAGACAACGATCAACGCCGTTAGATGTCTGCAACTTCGGAACACATTCAGTGGACAGACAAGGTGAGTGTATGAAAATCTTCTGAGAATTGATATTTACACACAGGAATGTTCATATTTTTCGCCGGGTCACTTTCCCGCTTAGTGTTCTCGAATTACCTGCGTCCGTGATCGATGCTCGAACGGGGACAGGGTGAATTAGAGCGATGGTGGTGGAGTGTGCTACGTAGTTAACGAGCAATTAATATCACTTCAGAGTGTTGATATCTCATGCAGCATAGCCAAAGCACGGGCGGATAATGGGCGACAGTTTTATGCTGAGGCGAGCGACCGGGGGGATTGGGCGGAATGGGCAGGCGGGTAAATGAAACATGATCGGATGCGACATTCGTTCCACGAGAAGTGTGTACTCGTGTAAAAAGTGGTTGGCGGTGGCGGGTCAGTGTTTTCAACTGAAAGAACGGGAAGGACGGGCACTGGGGAACGTAGATAAACAAGAATTCTATCATGCTCTAAGTCCTTCTTTATCGTCGATTTTGTTGCTGTGGACGCCATCTTGGAACGCACGATGCCGACACATGCTTAGCATATCGAGATATCAGTTGTCGAATTCGAAGCAGATAGACGAGCGATTAGTGGAAGATGCATTCTATTTTTTAAATATGACCTTATCTTTGATAGCTGTTTTAAGTATGAATAGGTTATAGTTGAGATAACGGAATTCAGTTACATAATATTTCAGTGTTACTATCGTTAAAATAAATTTTGGAAGTAAATTAGTATTTTGTAGATTTGTAGACAGAAATAAATATTAATACTAAAAGTTATTAACTAGCAAGTGAGTTAAGGAAGGAAAACTTAATGTTTACTTTCTTTGTTTATGTTTAATATTAATATTGAAAATACAATATTCTTTGACTAAAATATTCCATAATAATTTCTGATGATGATCTCGATCTGCCAATGCTTTCGTCCAGCATTGCACTCCCGATATTCTAGGATATTTACCGGTACAAGGGACCAAAGAAAAAGAAGCAAATCATATGGAAACAGTGGGACAGTAGGAGACAAAGACAGAAAGAGACAGAAAGAGACAGAAAGAGAAAGAGAGAGAAAGAGAGAGAAAGAGAGAAAGACAGAGAAAGACAGAGAAAGACAGAGAGAGAGAGAGAGAGAGAGAAAGAAGAAAAGACTGAAAGCATTAAACAAAAAAAATGTCATGCGAAGTAGAAAGCCGTGTCAGAGCCCCTTCGAGAGGGGCCATGCTTCTTACTGATTTCACTTATGTATC